TTGACCCCCTCCACCCTGCGTCTGCCCCATCCCCAGGCCTTCCCCATATTATTGTCTGTGTCCATGGGTTATGCATTTATGCATATAAATTCTTTGTGGCAAGTAGTGGAATGAAAGTAGACTTGGGTTGTAACTCCAGAGGATCTTCATAAATTTCTATAGCATCTCACTTCATTGGTAGGCAATTTCATTAACTAACAAAAATGGAATGATTCCCCTTAAAGCCTAATCTCTAGTTCTCTTGCCATAACATAAGCCCGTTCCCGTCCCACCAGTGTATCAGCACATACTGGTGGATTGCGCTGACCATCCATCTGGAACTCACTCTCTCTGGCTGTGAGCAAAACCCCTTTTTTCTCCACCATCTCTCTTCCTGCCACAGCTCCAAACTTTAAAATCTCTTCGGCTTATTAGGAAGTTTAAACCATAGGAGGCAGTTCATGCTTTCTGAAGGCCTCTTTCTCTTGCTCTGGGGTACAAATGGCTTTGAATATATGTGATTCATTCAGTACCCTTGCTCTTCAGGCTTGCCCATTAACATCTGCACTATGCCAGTTGTCAAAGAACATGAGAAAATCGTAGCTGAAAAGACTCTGAGAGAATCTGTCCCCTCTCCTTCATTTCATAAAACTCTTTCAGAAAACTGAGAACAGCAAAGCCCTTGCTCTGCCTAAGTCTAGAACCCAAGATCCCCAACTCAGGTCTACAGCCTCTAGATCTGTGCTCCAAACAGAACTGGACGAACTCCGAAACCTCAAATGAAAGACTTAGTATATGAGTCAGCTCTTATCACACACAAACATACACACACAAACACACACACACACAGCCTGACCCCTCTTCCAATGACAGCCAAAATAATATTCATTATTCTCTGAGTTATTTGTTCATTTTAGGACATCCCATCTCCAATGAAATCAAAAGAAATAACCATTTTAAACAGCAAGTGATACTTTATTGGTAGTTGCCTCTTCCCAGCCAAGCCAGCTCATGCCCACACTAATTGCAATGTATTTTCATTTTGGTTTGCCGTGTTTAAAACAGTGAGATTCTTTTTTAAGATAAAACCCCTGAGGCAATGGGTTGAACTCTGAAAAGATGTGGGCGAAATGTAGCTGCTTGACTAACAGCTGTTTGCTTGTAATTATTTTCTAATGTGAAGCGTGCAGTGGCGTGCATGGGTGCAGACAGCAAGGAGCCAAGGAGGATCTCAGAGACGAAGAAGAGAGGTTTTTCTATGGTGCCGTTTGCAGCCATCTGTACCTTGTGACTAACACAACATATTTGGTTATAGCCAGGTCTTTATTTCTGCATTCTTGGACGTTGAGAGAACATTAATCCTGTCTGAAAAACCTAATTTGTACTTGACGGCACATTATTCCTCTATTAACTGGTGATTTAGGACTGAGTTTTATGAAATAAATAGGGACATGGACAACTAGGTTTCGGAATCTAAAAACATTCCCAACCAGCCACTTGGAATTAGTATCAATTCACTGAGTGTTTATTGTGCATCTACTACGTGCCAGGCATCCCTGGATTCTGAGTCTACAGAGGTTCTGAAATCTAGCCGAGTATGAGCAGCACCTGGGAAAGCTTTAAAAATATGGATTCCCAGGCCTAATGTCTCAAACCTAATGGCTCAGAGTCTCACAAAAGGCTTTCAAAAGTATTCCATCCATCATACCTTGCTCACTTATTTTCATTAAGTGAAATTCCATTTTCCCCCAATGCCTCCCTTTTCAAATTTCACATCTAAATTCCCCAAGTGATACCCTTCTGTTGCCCCAATTACCACTCCCTCCACAGCCCTTGCTCTTGAGCTTCCTTCATTGTGTTAAATTATTGGTTCTCATAGTGTGGTCCCTGGACCAGCAGCATCAGCAACCCCCAGGAATTGTTGGAAATGCACATTCTCAGGCTCCAACCCGGATCTGCTAAATCAACAACATTGGGGATGGTGCCCAGCTATCTGGGTTTTAGCAAGCCCCATTAAGAAACTGTCACAGAAAGTCCCAGCCAGCCTTTCAACAGAGGTTCCCAGAGGGCAGGAACTGTGGTGTCTGGCAAAGGGTCCATGATTATACTTGTTGATTTGTCAGGAGTCTCAGTAGGGAGACCCACATTGGATTTCACAGTCTGTTTTACCACAAACACACACTGGATTAATGCCAAGGGACTGAGAATCTGAGTCTCAAAGAATCACTCAAACAGCCAGGTGGGAAAGACCTGCGATGCTCACTAAGCACCTCAGCAGGACTCCCTTGTTAGGACCTGAGAAAGGGTGAACGCCTCTTGCTTGCAGAGCAGCTCATGCCAGTGCTCGCTCAGGTCACACTGGTAGGTGGGAGATGTACAATTGCCCTGGTGTGACTGCTCATGTTTATGAATATTCTTTCCACCAGATTTGACGCCTGGAAGGCACCAGTTATGCTTAACTGATCTTTGAACCAGCAGTAAACAGCACTGTACCTGCACAGAGTAGGGACTCCACCTTCTGTAGTTAAAGAGCTGAGGCATAGGATGTAATTATGAAACCATTTCCAGAGTTTCGTGCCGGTTAGACTGTCTCCTGTGACTCACATGGATCGCTTAGGTTTCCTGGTCCCAGGAAGGTGACATTCTTCTTGCCATCTCTTTGAGGTCATCTTATGTGTATCTGGGCTGAGTGGGATAAGGAAAGGGCCCGAACAAGGAGGTTTGAAAGTAGAAGCACAGAAAGGAACTCAAAAATCAAATTGTATACTGTTTGTCCAGAAGCAGGGCAGACTTCCTACCAGAAGGTCAGTGTTTATACTATTTAACATGATGCATGCTCCAAGATGAACCCCATTCTAGCCCCAGTGCCTGCAGACATCTGTAGGCCTTGGACAAAACATTAGCCTCATGAAGTACCGTAAACTCTGCTTCCCTTTCCTGAACCATCTCACTGGATTTGTCATGATCCAGGCAAGAAACAGAAGACACATTCAGAAGGGTTAAACTAACATAGGTGTGGTCAGGGAAGGCTAAGGGAACCCACAGCCGTGGTGAGGCACCCAGGGCCAGTGACAGTGGGAGCTGTTACACCCCTAGGCCTAAGGACAAGGAGGAGAGATGGGGTCACTGGAGCCAGTGCCCTAGAGCTGAAGTCTCCCAATGGGAGCTGTGGCCATAGAGAGGGATCAGCAATCTAAACCTGGCCTGCCACCTCTTTTTATATGGCCCACAAACTAAGAATGGTTTTTATGTTTTTAAATGGCTGTATAAGTGCCTACATGATTTCCTTTCGTTTGCCTATTGACCTACAAAGCCTAAAATATTTACTTTCTGGCCCATCACCGAAAATGTTTGCAACAAGTACCATATGATTTCACTCATATGTGGAATTTAATAAACAAACTGAACTGCTAAGCAAAGTAGAGACAGACAGATAGAGAGAGCAGGCAGACAGCTCTGGTGGGGGGAGGGATTGAGCAAAAAGGGGAGAAAAAGAGAGAGAACTCAGGGACATGGACAACAATGTGATGAATGCAGCGGGGGGCGGGGAGCAGTGCGGAGTGGAGGTGGGAGAGGGCATAGAAGGGATAAATGGAAAAAAAGGGGAAAAAAGAAAAGGCAATGTGTGCAGGGGCCTTGTAAGAAAGCACCCACTGTTGGAGGCAGGCGGTCAAGGGGGGAGTAGAAGGAATAAATACCCCAGCCTCTCCCTAATCTTGCCCTCTCATCTCCTTCTGGTGCCACTTATTGGCCAAACCAAAGGGAAACCGGACGATGACATCTGAAGAGGTCAGGTTTCCAAGGCACAGAGCCAGGAAGGTAGAGAAACACAGGGAGTGGATGGGGCCAGGTAGCTCGCAGAGACAAACCGATCTACTCTGCCCCTACTGTAAACAGGGAGAACACCCCTACCCTGGGCAAAACTTGGGATACTGGGAAGACTCCTAGTTCTCCAGTGAAAGTGGTCAGAATCATATACATCTTTATATTTTTTAATCCTCACCTGAGGATATTTTTTCCATTGATTTTTAGAGAGTGGAAGGGAAGGAGGGGGGGGGAGAGGGAGAGAGACATTGATGTGAGAGAGGCACATCAATTGGTTGCNTCTCCAGTGAAAGTGGTCAGAATCATATACATCTTTATATTTTTTAATCCCCACCTGAGGATATTTTTTCCATTGATTTTTAGAGAGTGGAAGGGAAGAGGGGGGGAGAGGGAGAGAGACATTGATGTGAGAGAGGCACATCAGTTGGTTGCCCCCCCGTACGTGCCCACCAGGGCCGGGGATCGAACCTGCAACCCAGGTACATGCCCTCGACTGGGAATAGAACCCACAACTCTTCTGTGCTTGGTCGACACTCCAACCACTGAGCCACACCGGCCAGGGCTCAAATACATCTTTTAATGTATTGCATTTGATTCACTTTTTGCACGCATTTCGTGAACTAGATTTGAGAAGCAGGTGGGCACATTTGCTAAGCAAACCCAGCGGGAACTCATCAAGCGAAGGAGTCCGCAGTGGGCTTCTCTCCACCGTCCCCCAGTCTAATTTAAGGCACTGACCACGCTGACCACACTTCACCCTTTCCTCATTCCAGGCTCATGACTATTTGGCCTGAATTTGCCTTAGCTTGGTTTCCACCCCCTGGATTTACAGCAC